AGATATAGTATGCCAAAGGAAAACTGTGATAACAGCTTGGCAAGGTCACAGTAGGACCAACAGAGATGCAAATAATGCAAAATCAGAAAGAGAAGAAAGAGAAACTTTCCCTTTTCCTGCTTTTGATAGGAAATCTGTCCTCTTGTCACAATCTCCACCTTTTGTTGACTCTCAAATGCTACCAGTCTGCCGTCTTGTCAGTTTCAACTGCTCTCGCTGGATCATTTCTTCTTTAATGACTGGCTTCCTATAAGGAAGCACTTCATTACTGCATGGCACAGCAAACAGGCGGAGCAGTGCTGTGAGCACAGTCTGTGTTGTGCACATGGACATTTAAGATTTGATCAGGCCGAAATCAAAACAGCCAGAGCCCTATGTCTCTTGGTACTTTCAGTGCACACTCATTTCTGTGTTTTGGTAAATCATCCGTGGTACATGCACTAACACGGTGCTTAATTCAGTCTGTCTCTTTCGTGTGGACAATTTTTGTGACGCACGTCTGCTATATATGACTTAATCTTAACTCATAGCACGTGTTGCATGGTCTGGACTCTTTCGCATCACACTGTAGCACACCAAGTATTTTGTAACATTGTTGGTAGCTGAAATGAACTGTGATTCCTAATTATTGCTAAAAATTTTTAAGTGTGTGTGTGTGTGTGTGTGTGTGTGTGTGTGGATTATGCAAAATCAACATATTTTTATCATGTTAAAATATAATTCACTCATCAAAAACACACCCATGGCGTTGCTTTGACTCATTCCTACATGTTTGAGAAATCTTTGAATCTCCTGTGGTAGCCATAGGGAGCTGCCTGAGAGCTTGTTGGTACAAAGCACCTCCTGTTTACACAAAGCACCTCCTCAGCCCCCAGCCCAGCTCCCACTTCACAGAGCACCCCTTCCTGAAGCATTTTTGTGAAGATGTGCTGAAGTGGGAGTGTCCGAAATGGTAGGAGGTTCTTAAACAGACGGAAACCAATTTCAAGGCATTTCAGATATGGCTATGATGAAAAGTCAACAGTATTTGCTTGTGGCATAGAATTGAATTACAGTGGGGTGCGAAAGTTTGGGCAGCCTTGTTAATTTTCCTGATTTACTTTTATAAATCATTGATTGTTTGGATAAAAAAATCAGTTAAATATGTCATATAGGGGACAAACACAGTGATATCTGAGAAGTGAAATAAAGTTTATATGATTTACAGAAAGTGTGCAATAATTGGTTAAACAAAATTAGGCAGGTGCATAAAAAAACGTTAACTCAATATTTAGTAGATCCTCCTTTTACAGAATTAACAGCCTCTAAACGCTTCCTACAGCTTCTAATGAGAGTCTGGATTGTGGCTGAAGGTGTTTTAGACAATTCTTCTTTACAGAACATCTCTAGTTCATTCAGGTTTGATGGTTTCTGAGAATGGACAGCTGTCTTTTAGTGACACCACAGATTTTTAATAATATTCAGATCTGGGGACTGAGATGGCCATTCTAGAACATACTTGTTCCTCTGCATGAATGCCTTAGTAGATTTTGAGCAGTGTTTAGGGTGGTTGTCTTGTTGGAAGATCCAGCCCCGGCTTCAGCAGCTTCAGCTTTGTCACTGATTCCTGGACATTGGTCTCCAGAATCTGCTGATATTGATTAGAATCCATGCGTCCCTCAACTTTAACAAGATTCCCAGTCCTTGTACTGGCCACACAGCCCCACAGCATGATGGAACCACCACATTTTACTGTAGGTAGCAGGTGTTTTTCTTGGAGTGCTGTGTTCTTTTTCCTCCATGCATAGCGGCCCTTGTTCTGCTCAAATAACTATTTTAGTTTCATCAGTCCACAGCACCTTATTCCAAAAATGGAGCTGGCTTGTCCAAATGTGCTTTAGCATACCTCAAGCAGCTGTGTTTGTGATGTGGGCGGAGAAAAGTCTTCCTCTGCATAACTCTCACATACAGCATCTCCTTGTGTAAAGTGTGCTGAATAGCTGAACGATGCACAGTGACTCCATCAGCAGCAAGATGATGTTGTAGGTCTTTGGTGCTGGTCGGTGGGTTGACTCTGACTGTTCTCAACATCCTTCACTTCTGTTTATTCCAGATTTTTCTTGGTCTGCCACTTCAATCCTTGACTTGAATTGTGCCTGTAGTCTTCCATTTTCTCACAATGGAGACTGAAAGCTGAAATCTCTGAGATAGCTTTCTGCTTCCTTCCCCTAAACCATGACGGTGAACAATCTTTGTTTTCAGCTCATTTGAAAGTTGTTTTGAGACTCTCATGCTGCCACTTTTCAGAGAAGATGCAAAGAGGAGAAAAACACAATTGCCCCTCTTAAATACCCTTTCTCATAATTGGAGTCACCTGTGTATGGAGGTCAAGGGTCACTGAACTTACCAAACCAAATCTGACTTCCAACAATTAGTTCTAAAGGTTTTGAAATCAATAAAATGACAACACTGCCCAAATTTATGAACCTGCCTAATTATTGCACACTTTCTGTAAATCATATAAAATTCATGTTTGTCTCCTATATGATATATTTAACTGATTTTTTAAAATCCAAACAATCAATGATTTATAAAGGTAAATCAGTAAAATTAACAAGGCTGCCCAAACTTTCGCACCTCACTGTGTGTGCCTGGAAAATACCCCTTTAAGAAGTCTTTGAGAAACGTTCAGATGAAACAAAACAAGAATTCTAACAGGAACTACAAAAACAATTGCAACATACAATTTGACATTATTTTTCTTGTATTGTACTAACAGCTGTCAGTGATCAAGCTAGTATGTTGTTTCTTTAAGCCCTTAGGAATAGCATTACTTCAGCAGAGCTCCTAAAGTTCAGGCTCACTTGTGGTTTTCAGAATTTCTTTCGTTCATCTCCTGCAAAAGCAGCTCCAGGTCTGGATTTGGGAAGCAGAAACCCTCTCTATAATTCGGAAATTAATACCTTTAGATGAAACTCGTGGTTCTGGCTCATGCGAGCTTAAACCATCTCCTAATGATGCTGCTGTAGGCCTAGGCTGCTGTTGCCTTCATGATGCACTCAGCATTCTGCTTTTCTTCACTTTTTCACATCATTAGACACGTTTCATTTCTCTGCATGCACGTATCTCTTGCTGCATAGACCAGCTCAGTGTTTACGTTTCATTTTTTACTAAAAGCTCATTTTCCATTTACAATGCCTTCTGTCACCCGAGTAAAGCCCTGTTTTCTTCAGAGTGACATTTCCTCTATCGTAGCATAAAATTATGACTCAGTCATACAGTCTCCAGGATGATCTCCGTTATAATTTGCTATAACTAAAACTCACTGGGTAGGTTTTAGATCATATACATAATTTAGCTCACAGATTCAAATTACTTTTTAATTTCTTGTGCATATTCTGTCCATCAAGTAGGTGGAAAGGTTGACGATCAATGCGCAGGCACAATAAGTGTAAGTATAGTAAATAGCAGTTGAAGGAACAGGGGAAAGGTTCATTGGTTGCAGGCCTTTTTGAGGGATGAGGCTACTTTCTATACATCTATGCAATCAATAAAACAAACAAGCAGCTCATTACGAAAAATTGACCGCTTCCCAACTTCTAATTACCACATCCATGACATTTCAGTGCCAAACACTGATTTGACATTTACTACGTGGGAATAAAATTAGCAAGCACTCAAAAACATATACAAAAAAAGTATACAATTTAAACAAATGTTAAAGGTTATCTAGCCTCAAACTAGATGATGCAAAGAGCATTAATGCCTCAATAATTATATATTTTTTAACAATAAAGTTAAGAGCTACTATATTTTGTATATTTTGAGTCTGAGGGTGTCATTTCTACTGATGCATCACAGTGAGCCATAAAAGCTTGAAAAAGCTGAATGACGTCTGCATGGGGAACATCTGCCATTTGTCTGGACAACACTGTCTCAACAGCCCACCAGCTCACAACGAGGGCAAATAAAAGGCTACGGCTGACAAGGGGTACCATCAAAAAGGTCCTTTGATAATGGAAATTAACATTGATATTCATGCAGATAATTATTGTAATTCACGTCAAATACCAGCCATTAGTGCTGTAGGAAAAAAAGGGTGTTTGGTTGTTATAAACTACTTATCACACAACTGTTGCTGACTGAAAAGCCCTAGTTGCATCTGACTAACATCATCACATGTGTTTCAATGAAGCAAAGAGCAAAAACATTCTGCTTTGCCCTGATATAACAGCTTTTACTCTACCTGATTCCTAACACATTTGGCAAAGTGAAAATGCAAATATACAAAGAAAAGAACATATAAAAACGTGTTGCAATATGGTACCATTTACTGGTCAACTGTTGTATGTGTGCTGCTGACTGTTTTTATTATTTGTATAGTATTTAGGAGCAAATAAGATGTACTGGTTGGAAACAGTTGTGATTATATATTTATATTTTTGAAACTATTATTTAATAGCCTCACAGCTCTGCCATAACAGGAGCACAGTGTGACATAATTAGTTATTGGTCTGAGTCTAGTCTCATCAACATCACTGTCTAAATAAGCTCCACGGTGCACCAAAGTATACTAGAAATGATGGAAGGGTTCCAATTTGTAACTACTACTGTATATATTAATTGTAATGCTGACAGTTTTATATAAAAAGCTGTCATCTTTGTTACAACTACAAGTTGTAACAAAATCTGCTATCATAATACCTAAAATGTTATTTTTGTATAAATAAAATGGTCAAATTGTTTAGATACAATTTTCTAAACTTACATTTCCATTTTATCTGCTAAAGTAAGGTAGAGCAAACAAATACATAAAGAAAAAAATAAGTTAATGAGGAATACAGTTGAGCATAAACTGTTCCGACACCCATCAGTTTGATAGATTTCTGTGACTGAAGAAGGTGGGGGTTGATGACACACTGATCATGTGCCTGTCTCACTTTGTTTACCGAAATGTCAGCCTGTTGGGACAGCTGAGTTCATTTACCCTCCTATTAGTCCAAGTGAACTATTCCCGAAACAAGCAGAGTCTGACAACGGCGAAGAAAGCATGTCCAGGTGAGTACCTGTTATTTATTTATGCTAAATAATCTTCAAAGCTGCATCAATTGCACCTAATCCCCCCTCAGTGTCTTTTGTGTGTCTGTCCTATTTTCCCTCCTTGGTGTGTCACTAAGTGTGGAGATGCAAGGGTTATACGGGAGCTTCACCTCTCCTAAATTTCCTCAGCCATACCCTGACAACCAGTACATAGTGAGGAACATAACCGCCCCACATGGGCACCGGATCAAACTCTACTTCACCCACTTCAGCATGGAGTCCTCCGATCAGTGTGAATATGACTACCTCCAGGTATATGCAGAAAGAAATTAATTTGACTGTCTAAACTGGACATTGCACCCACTAAAAGGCCTTTGCACTTGTCCAACCAGGTTTTGGCGGAAGGAAACGAAACCTTGCGGTTCTGTGGTGAGGAAGTAAAGAACTCTGAAAGCACCCCCAGGAACACCATCATCATATCAGCTGGGAACTTTATGTCAGTGGTCTTTAGGAGCGACTACTCTAACGAAGGCCGATTCACCGGCTTCCAAGCTTTTTACGCCTCCGAAGGTGATGCAAAATAGGAACATTCGTTGCCAGGAGGGGAAGCTAATTTTGGCTGCCATAATTAAACTAAACTAAAAGTGGCAAAAACTAATAAATAAATAAATAAAAAAGGATTATACCATCACAGGTACAGCAATGTTTTAACAGATTAGTTTCAGTTTGAAAATTTTGGGTTTATGTGTTCGCTTAAAAAAAAACAAAAAAATTAGGTGTTAAAGTCATAGCATTCCTTGAAGGAATGCATGTTGCTCAACACTTCACAGGGCTATTCATACAGTATCTCCTTGTGGTCTTTTACAGCAGATGGCAATGGATATTTAATGTATGTCAATAAAAATTGTTTTAATATGGCTAATATTAGGAGCTGGAGTATATTCAAATGAATAGATTCACTGCTTCAATTGCAAAAAATAATTTAAGATGTTTACGATGATATAAACAAGCCTAAAGATGTACAAACTAGTAAAGACAATCCAATATTTTGTTTTTAAATTATTGTGGATGGCAAAATGCATAATTTCAATATTGGGTTTGTCTCGTAGATATCAACGAGTGCCTGTCAAAAGTGGATGGTGAGAGAATATGTGATCATTTTTGCCACAACTACATTGGGGGCTATTACTGCACATGCAAGCAAGGATACCTTCTCCATGACAACAAAAGGTCCTGCACGGGTAAGAGCAAAAATGAGCTGAAGCTCAAGAGGTGAGTTCGTCAGGTGCAATTAAAGGAAGTTAAAAAGCTGCACAAGGTGAGGTGTTTGGAGCTTAGCATGAAGCATTTAACCATACTGATCTCTTTGCGTTTCTTGGGCTAAATGTATGCCTTCTAGGTGTCTCAAATGCAGACACAGGAGTCAGTTTTCAGTCCAGTGCATTGGTACATTTTGCCAAACCAAACTGAATTTCACAGACTTTGCTTTATGACAGTTTGTTCTTGTGCTGTTTTAAGGTACATTTACGTAGACAAGTGAAATCTAAATAGTTGCTCATTATTACCTTCGCAATCTTATACTTTTTAATTTCAAAAAAAGTTATTTCTAAACACTCAAATCACTTTACTGCAGAGCAAGTGGTCAAAAGCAATTTTCTGACATTTCATATGGGTCATGCTGTTGATAATACAAGTTCTTACTTATCCTTGAAGTTGTTGCTCTCTGCCAGCTGGTGTTTGGCGAGGTTAATCACCGTCGACTCCTGAGGGAAAAGCAACTTCAAAATGGCTGTAAAAATTAATACCTGCGTGCAGCGCTAATAGCGCACCAACACAAGGTAATTAATCACAATTACCAGTTGATGCGCCTTAAATTATTATACTTTGCCTGAGGAAAAAGGGTGGCACAACAAATCATGCAATGAATAGACAAAAATGATTATCTGCCCACAGATTGTACTAATTATATAAATTACAGCAACTCTGCCTCTTTGCAATGCTCATTTGTTTTTTTGCTCGTAACATCTGCACACTTGCCAGGTAGAGCAATAACGCAAATCTAAATGAATCCAATCCTTTCTGATGCTGGGGAAAATTAGTTATTTTCTTTGATTAAAAATGTGTATAACTCAATCGCTGCAAGTCTCAGAATTGCGTCCTCTAAGGTTTGAACACTAATGTTTAAATAATTCCCTAAAATGAACTGAGTTCAGGGAGGACTTTATTCAGTGTTTTACGACTTCTTTGCAGTGCCATGCCAAAATCAGGTGTTAACGTCAGCATCTGGAGTTCTGACCAGTCCTGGCTACCCAAACCCTTACCCACCCATGAGCCAATGTGACCACATCATCCGTCTGCCAGAGGGTTCTAGAATTATCCTGGACTTCCAAGAACCCTTTGACATAGAGGGACACCCAGATGTCCCCTGTCCATACGATATGTTGAAGGTCAGTATTGTGAGAGTCTAACCCACACAGGATGATGAATAAGCAATGTATTCATCCTCATGCCTGCTGAGATGGTCTTGTCTCCGGCTTCCACCTCATGGGTGATTTACAATATCCTCACGCGGGTTCTTGCATGTTTAGGGTTGTTGAGGTCAGCTGGACAAGTAATAAATTAACTTTGGTTTATTTGTCTTTTGTGAGATTTCAACTGCCGGACAAGAATACGGACCCTTCTGTGGCTCCACACCGCCAGGCCGAATTGACACGGGAAGTTACCAAGTGGAAGTTGCATTCAGATCTGACTTAAGTGGGAAACACAAGGGATGGAAGATCAAGTACACAAATACTAAAGCTGAGTCTTCATTTTAACTTAAGACTGGGTTTAATCTTTTGTTTAGGTGTGATAATTTTTTGTTATGAGATGTACAGTAGTTTAAATTCATTATTTCAAGAGCTTTTTTTTTTTTTCTTTTTTGATCCTTGGTACGAATAAAAAGATCAGAAAACAGCCTAATTGTTCAAAGTAATGATTATTTGCCTATTGTGACCTTGAAGTGGAACTGAAGCATAAATCTTTATATAAAAGCATTCTTCAAAATACAGAAGCCAAACACCTACTCTGCTATGCTTTAGATAAAGAGAGTCTTTATTTCAAAATCAATTAAGGCCAAAATTTTAACAGTTAACAGAAACCTATATTTTGAAGTAATTAAAAACAGAGTGAATTAAACATCCCAGACATCTAAATAACAAAACTTTGGCACTCTAGGTCAATTTGTAACACCTCAAAATTATATTTATTAGCTTTGGTCATCATGAATCTGTACCTTTAAGAGGGAAAAAAGCCACCTTCATATCCAGCTCTGCCCAAGTTGTGCACAACTCAGCCTGCTTTGTGCCCACTTTTGGGGTAAACAGATTTAAAAAGTTTCGATACAAGGTTGTGGGTGATATGCATTTCATCAAGAAATGCTACTTTTGAATGTGTTCATGCATCCGAATTTTTTATATGTTTTTTGTACATTTTGTTGCCGTATGTCTTGAGGTTTTACAGCAACAAAAGAATAAAGCAAGGCAAAACGTGTACTGACTCGTGTCACCATGGCACTTGAAGCTGAACAGAATTATAAGGTGTTAGGTAAAAGTCTTCTGACCAGATGGGAAATCATTTGTTTCCAGTCCTCTGGGCACCTGGGTGCTTACAGAGCAAACCTGAACGTCTTACCCAAACCTTAGTCATCATCTACTCCTGACAGCCAGCGACACACAATAGCCAACTCAACTGTGTCGATGCTGCATCGCACTCGCTTCAAACTGTTCAACCTAGACTGAGCCAATGCCACAGGAATTACGCCCACCATGAATCCCATTAACCAGCTGCTGGGAAATACCTGGCAGCAGCATGTCGCCAATAAGGCTCAGAGCTCAAACGCCCATCATTCTTCCACTCATCCATGAACATTGTTCATTGGTGTAAAAACACAAAAGGGGAAAATTCAGTACTATTAAGAGACTGGAGACAATTTTATTGGTGAAAAGCCTCCTTGATTAAGCAACACTTGGAAGAAGTACCGTTTAATCACATATTGTATAGTCATGTACACGTTCCATCTGTGAGGGTTTGTTCAAAAATATATATTTAAAGCAATTCACATAAGAAAACATGGTGCTCTTTTTAAATCTGTATAATATGCTAACTACGCTGGTTTTGCATAAAACAATGCTAACTAATTACACAAAAACATCACATTTAAATGGATCATTTGTGTTCATTTGTTCAAAAGGCAGAGGAAATTAAAAAAGCTTTATGTGCACACATCGTTCACAAAGTCTTACAGAGTGACAACTCATCCAGTAACTGAACACTAACATACAAAAAACACATGGTAATGTACTGAGCTTTTTTCAGTGTTGTATTTGTACTTTAGTAATGTGACCGTGTAATGCAACTGTGCAGCTAATAGGAAAGAGAGAGTTTCTACTTTTGATCTTTTCAAGAAGGCTTGTTAGTCACACATCAGCCAATTGTGAGATTTTCCAACTCTAAAAGATCCAAATAAAAATGTTACCTTTTTAATGAACACTGCAAGAAAATGTTTAAAGCAGTTTAGATGGAGTAAACTGTCAATAATTTCGACTTGACTGAGAATAAATGATAAAAATGCTTGTATAAATTCCATAATTTTAACCACATGGTAATTATTTCCAAAAGACACTAAATGATGGAATTTGTTGTTAGCTATTCAAGTTAGTTTGTTACCAAGGAGGTTCTATAGAACAGCTGGAGTGCGCAGAAACCACGTGACCGTGTGATCGGCTGGTGAAGCTAACGGCTAACGCAAAACGGTCAAGAGTTCTGGATTTCCCATTACTGTACATGTTGGCAACAGAGCAGAAAAAAAGGACTGACAATGTAGAAATCATAAAAACTATTAATAATAATATTAACCCAATTATTATTAATATTTTACAGTTTACATAATCTATCTAATGTTTTAAATAATGTCAGAAAAGCTGTGTTATGGATTTATTAACAGAAGATAAACAGGAAAACATCTCATTTCACAACACAAGTCAGCAGATTTGATCTTATTTAGCTCAATGTGATCTGAGCAGAACATAATGTAACAGTTTAAAATTAAAATAATCTTATAAAGTCGATGTAATCATTGTTATTTATTGAACTGGTTAGCAGATATTAGCTTGTGGAGCATAAATACAGAGTTTAGCACTGTTGAATCATGCTACAATTTAACACAAACAAATATCACAAGCTGATTTGTCCTCTGATTAATATTTGTGTAAAATAATATTATAAATGTGAGTATTTTTAGGTTTCTGTAAGAGGAACCTGACCTGTTGAGCAGATGGTTAGCCAGTAGAGACAAGTTTCATCCTATAACCAGAGAACATTTTCTAACTGTTGACTGGTAAATATAAATATTCTTATTTTTTATGACAGTAAGAATAAATACTAAATATACTTTATTACTAGCTGAAGTCATCATTTTTCAGCTAGCTAAAGTCTAAGTTGCAGGCTGACTTCAGGTCTGGTTTAGATCATTGTTACTTATAAATTATATATTTTTCTGGTATAAATCTGCTGTTTTACATGATTGTTGAATGAAATTAACATAATTATTAATTTATTGTAAAAACATGACTGATAATCTGTGAAACAGATCTGGTTCAGCTTGCTGTTTATCTATTAGTTTCTATGGAGGTTGTGAGCCGTTGCTCTGTTTGGTCTCTGTTTCTGCTCCTCCATGCTGTCACAGACACTACCAGTGGACGGTATGGGCGGGGCTCAGTCTAGTGATCTATATTCAAGTCTGTGTTTGTTACATTTTTCTTAAATGTTCCATCTAAAACTGTAGTGCAGTCAAGCCTTACTAGCAGTGTTTAGAAAAACAAAACAAAAACAAAAAAGTTTGTTTTTTCCCTTAAATTTAAAATAAGACATTTTCATGCTTGACTGCTAACTATGAAGTTGAAGGTAGCTAGCTAGACATAGTAAGACTCAGATGGAGGGGAACACTTTAGGATTTTAGGTATAAAATGAAAAATCAACACTGTGGCTTAGTTCATAAGTCAGACTTAATCTTTCTAGAAGAACAAATAAGACAGGATACCTCAGGCCACCATGTACAAACTTGTAAACTTTTTCAATCAATGACTTGCATTGTCATCTAGTCAAAGGAAAAAAACTATATAGGTCCTCTGGACGGGTTCTTCTTTAATGAAACGTTTCGTCTCTCTTCCAAGAGACTTCTTCAGTCTGAGAGTTTCAGGCAAAATTCAGGCTTTTGAGTCCTGCCTCCAGGTGACTCATACTCACATCACCTGGCTATCGCTCATTCTTGATAGGGAGGAACGTTGGTTTGAGAAAGGAGTAAAAGAAGCCATTTTTGTAAAGAAAGACCGTCCGTCATTAAACAGAGGTGGAGGCCTCCGTTTTCAGCTGTCCCCCTGCTACAGCGCTGCCTTTGGCAGTATCTCTCCACCCCCTGTTAACAAAAGGTATTAATTAGGGTGAACGATAGCCATGTGATGTGAGTATGTCACCTGGAGGCAGGACTCAAAAGCCTGAATTTGCCTGAAACTCTCAGACTGAAGAAGTCTCTTGGAAGAGAGACGAAACGTTTCATTAAAGAAGAACCCGTCCAGAGGACCTATATAATTTTTTTCCTTTGATTTTTTTACCTGGATTACAGAGATGCATCAGGACATTGTCATCTAGTGTTTAAAAAGAAGAGTGTTTGGATTTAATTATTTAATTTAACTAAGAGTGGGAGGGTGGTGGAAGATTTGTTGCATTTGAAAAATAAAGCAAAAAAAAATATTTCCTGCTCAAATGCTAAACTAAGCTCATTGGCTACCAATTTGATACGTTCCACATAAATGTGTTCCTCTGTAATTATAACATGACAATCATCAGAAATAAAAGCTGATGGGAAGCAGATCCAAGTGGTCCGTGCCACCATAGCTTGATAAAGAGTTTGCCCAACTCACCCTGCTTCTTCTTGAGGCATGAAGTGATCGAGTGCTTTGCACCACATTTTTTTCCTCTCAAAATGATAAAAATATGAACATCCTTAACATTGCTATACTCCAGCTGTAATACAGAGCAAATCTCATTCTACTGACCCTGAGGCTGGTAGTGTGAATCCTTATCAGTCTGCTCAGGTGAAGCCTCAGCCTAGGAGCTCCCTTGGGCAGACATCTTAGCAGCCTCCTCTGTGCTTGTTGCATTTGTAGACTCTCTGCTGCCACCCGGCTGTGTGTTGCTGATGGACTGCATGGCCTGAATCTGCTGGAGGCGCACGGACAGTTGAGCCTCGCAGGCCTGAAGCAGCGCAGACGTCCTCGCTGTGTCCCAGCCCAGTACCTGCTGCATAGCTTCTGGTCCTTTTGTTACTACCATCTAAATACACAGACAATTGATGAGTATTTGATAGTCTGGATATACATTGCACTTCATTCTGCCTCATCCGTTAAAAAAACACATGTAAACGCTAATACAAAACTGCTGGGACTGTTTAAGAAAGGCAATGATTTGAGGCAGTTGATGAAAAGATGTCTCTAAAACGTCTACTTTTCCTACAAGTGAAGACGACAAATAAAAGTTTGAATTGTATTTTCCCCAGAATAAATGATTGGATATGTCCAAACTGTATCAAAGACAAGCTATAAAGGGATTTTGAATGCATCATGATTTGCAGCCTTAAATACTTGCTTGGTCAATTTTACATGTCAGACTTAGTGGACTTAAAAGACAAGTAATGCTTTTGGCAGTTTAGTTCAGTTGCGAACGCACTCGAGACCAAGTGAGGACTGATCACTGAGACCACTTTTTAAAATCAGTGTGCATGGGTTAAGTATGGCTTTATTTCAACTGAGGTGTCGCCTGGTGAATAATAACATGTTTGAACTGCAGCAGGTCGCTCACCCCTGGCCATTAGCCATCAGTTTTGTGTCACGCTGTGAGAAAATGACAAGTAAAAATAAAGCGTTGATATTGTACTAAATCACAGGTTGGGCAGCAGGTAACAGGTAGGTTCTGGGTAAGATTTACTCCCCCCATTTATGGATGCGTGCTCGCAAAACTGGAACTATGACAAACTCTGATATTTGATCTTTGCCAAAAAAAAAAAAAAGAAAAAAAGGAAAAAGAAAAAACATTGCAACTTAAACATAAAGTGTGTATTTTAGATCACTTGAAATGTAGTTGTTGAAACATTTTAACAGCAGAGGTGTGAAAGGACACGTTTACTGTTGTCTAGTTACAATTACAACACCTAAGGTGGGGAAAGGGTGGGTATTAGCATAGGCCTCGCATCAGAAGGAATGATGTAAACATAACATTATGAAATGTAGGTCAGGTTAGAAGGCAGGAGAAATGGACTTAAACTGTTCATCTATGCTTCAATCTGCTAACTCATCTGGATTTTAAGATTTATATGACTACACACTAGTCAAAAATAAGATTGCAAAAACTGTGTTCTTTAAAACTTGAGACAAGAAAAATTATTTTAACAGTCAAATACCTGCAGATCCTCCGTGGCAAGCCTGGTCTCAGGACTTGTTTTGCCTTTCAGGACCATTAGCGTCCTGGACGTGAATCCAGAGGCAGAGTCCACCTCCATTCCATCTGGTAAATCCACATCTATGGCTATGGACATATTAAAAACATTATTTCTCACAAGACCATTTGTTATGATAAAGAACTGATTTTTGTAAACCACTGAAAGAGCTGGGATTATTGAGCAGCAGCAATGGTGCCATCTAGTGGCCAAATGGTACAAGTGCAGTTCAAGCATATAGAAATAATATTTTCCAAATTTTTCATCTTCTTTTTCTGTTAAAAACGAATACATCAAAAGCACAATTCTTTGTGGTTACATTAAATTTGATCGTGAATATTTTCTGCTATTTAAAATTGAAGGACACAAACATTAATGCATTTAATTTAAAATAAGATCAATTTCATCTCAAATGTTCATATTCTACCTGCTCTATGATGATGGCAATGTGCAACTGCCTAACAGTTTTATCCTACCAATACAACAGCAATAAAAACTTCTTTTTAATACAGTTGTGGCATAGTAGACAGGCTATAGCACTGATGTTGATTTAATAGTAAAGTTTCTGTAGAGGGTCTTTAATGTGAATGATAACAAATAAAAAAAAGCATTGACTTTATAAAGAAGCATGACACCACCAAATGTCTAACTACAAACTGTAAAACTTACATATAACTAATCTATATTTATAATCAATAATTTCTTATGTCAAATTTTTAAAAATATCATAATATTACTGACTGTGAAACAAAGTCTTCAACCTTGATCTAGTTATACCTTCCTGGCTGGGCTGGCTTTGTTCTTCCTGCTGTTTGTCCTCTTTCTCCACAGCTTTGAGATAAAGCTGGAGCAGCGCCTTGGACTGCCTTTCTTCCTCTTTTCGATCCAGAACCCGCTGCAACGTCTGTTGAAGTTCCTCAGCCTTTGTTTCTTGGAAGCCCAGAGCAGAGGCGAGTTCAGAGCATGGGGCGTCCACTAAACACTGAAAATATCAAACAACTGTTTTTAAATCCCATTTTAATAATTCATCACATCTCACCAAAACGTTATTTTCTAATGAACAACGAAAACAAAAACAGGTACAACTGAAAAAATATATATATATTTTCAAGCAGCTTTAGTTTCTTATCAATAAGACACAAGAATGTGCATTTAATTGTTCCAATGATAGAAATGTAGATATCATGTTGTGTACCTGCAGATCTGCCTCAGACATGAGAATTATGCTGTTCAGTTCCTGCTTCAGCTGCAGTGCCAGATTCCACCATGGTGCCGCAGTAATGGAGGCGTCAACGGTATCGGCTTCCAGCATCATAGAATCCCTTGCCATCCAAGCCGTGCCACCATCAACTAGTGACATGCAAGTGTGTACAAAAAACTAAAGATGAACATTTCATTGTTGCAAAGACACAAAGTAGTTCACACTTCAGACAAATGGACCTGCTTACTCCTGCGAGCTGGAGCCCATGTCTCTTTATTGTTTAACAGCATAAACTTTGTGTTTGGAGGTAAACACAAAAAGTAGGCTTGATCCTCCACTATGGTCCCATCGTTCTCTAGGACCACCATGACCGAGTCACTTGGGCTGAACCCAAGTGACTCACAACCTGTGGGCAGAACAGACAAAATAGAATTAAGACTATTTTAAAGGTTATTTAACCTACTGTAGATATTTAAATCACACCTAACCTAATTTTCATGTAATTCTTCTATATTATCACTTCTTTTCAGATAATCACGTTTGCTGATTTTTGACCGAGAGAGTACTACTCTTTGATGACGCCTCTAGAACTGCCTGAAGGCTTGCCTTTTAAAATAATGCACATGATCCATGTTTAGTTTTATTTGCACGATGACTCAACATGCTTGGTGAGACACATGCAACTTATGTTTTCATGTTAAGCATCTGGCTCTAGTGTCAACAAGTAAAAAAGCCTGAAAAAGTGTAAATTAGATTGTGTGTAGGGACATTTAAATGACAACAACACTGTATTTTAGTGATTTGTAATAAAATAGGTCAAGTATATGCAATTAAAACCGACTTAAAAAGACAGAAATGGCAAAAATTGTCAAGACCTGGAAAGGCAACGCCTGCATAGTGACTAGTATTTTAGGAATGAGCTGGATCAGTGGATTGACTCAAGTTTTTGCAGCTGCAAGTTTGGACTTGATGGAAGTTCATTTGTTTCTACACATAGCTCGTTCTTGATAACATAAGTAAGCTGGAGCTAAGAAGTATACAAACAATGTTTATAAATACTACAGTATTAGTGAACTCACACACAGAGGGCATGATAGTTTCGCTTTTATACTGTTCTTCTTCGTGTATCAAAACTAAGCTAAAATGACAAAAAAGAGAGAACTGAAGGTACATGTTCACCATATTTTCTAGTCAAATAGCTTAAAAGTCATCGTTATATAATTTACACACAATTACAGTGTAGCAGTGTCACTCACCTTTTCTTTTCAGCTCATCCAGTGAAGGAGCAACCACACCGTAAGATGTTTGTCGTGTGAAATTGCACACTTTACAAGGTTTCCCATCAGTCATTATAAGCCTTCGGTTAATAACAATACATAAACTAGTTTTATTATGTTTTTTTTTTATTATTATTAACACGGAGCAACAGCGTTACACACTTGGCTTCCTCTTTGAACAAGGAACCGCTAAAGTACCGCTATGAACCCTGGGATGTGTAGTTTATTTGTGTTGCAGGCGTAAACCTAGCGTGCGTCGCAAGATTTCAAATGTTTTGTATGTCAGCCTTTTTTTTTAATTTATTTTATTTTTACACACACACACACACACACACACACAC